GGCGGGATGGCACATCACGTGACCTAGCCCCGCGATGATCATTACCTTCTGACGTGGACGTCCATAGGCCTTCAGCCATCTCGTCACTTGTCAAGGAGAGAATCCTTCTTGTTACTTGTAACAATACTAATTTCTCTATCTACTCTCTTGTTAACTAATAGAAGTATTTTAAATATAGTATTTATAATATAATAAAGTATCTCTAATTTTAAGTACTTACCTCTAAGATTAACTAGAAGAAATAGTATTATTAGTAGGCTCTTCTTAAGAAAGTTAAAGAATATTAAGAGTTTAAGTCGCCTATATATAATATTAAGTAGTAGCTTACTAAGTTAAAAACTAATAATAAATTAGAGCTAGCTTCTAATATTATACTTTTAGCTTAGAAAAAGTTATATAATATAGTTTTATTATAACTAAAAGCTACTATAGAAGAGAAGATTACTAGGTATAATTATACTATATATATAATTACTCTATATTATAGTATTAAATAGAGAGGGATAAACCTAATCTGAAATGAGAGCTAAAGTTGAAATACTATCTTACCTACTAAGAGCTAAGTAGAATATAAAGAAGAAGTATTAGAGTTAACTAAAGTCTCTATATATAAGGAAAAAAGGCTAAGTGTATATTTTCTTTACCTAGATAATAAAGGTCTACTTCTAGTATAGCGTATATATACTTTTAGTACTCTAGATAATCTTAGTAAGTATTTTAGACGTAAGTATCTAAAAAAATATCTAGAGTAGGAGGTATCTTAGCTGCAAGCTTTGTATGGCGCCCTTGGCAGACAAGACGCACTTGCAATGACATGCTTAAGAGGTTCACGGAACTGTGACCCCTACTGTCAGATTGTGATGGGTTATCAAGGACAGTAAATTGTTGGGGTTAAAAGTGATTGTATTCTCTATCTCTCTTGGAGACGTGCAGGCGCGTCTATTATGGATAGTAACTATATTACCTTTTACCCTCTAAGGCCTTCATTGTTACAGTGTGGACTGGGAGGCAGCCTTAGCAACAAGCTTTGATTGGCCGAACCCAAAATCCCGATGCTCCGATCCACACGCGGATTCTGCAGCTTCCGCTGTCACTTATCTAACAGCTACACAGTCTTATAATTGCTGCTAGCACCTAGGCTGTCGTCTTAGGTTATGAAGACAACCCAAGACTTAACATTGAGATTGGATTTTTTATAGGTAGCGTGAGTTGTTTAATCAAAATGTCGCTAGTGTTGATAGGCGTCTTATGTGCTTCCTTAATAAACAGTTAGCCGCATTATTATCGTATTTACTAATAACGTGATACCACTCTTCCTACACTCTTCTAAAATAGTTCTCGTTTTCGTGTCTAGATAGATATATAAACTATGCTTCTATAGGGATGCTTCTACTATAGCGACGTACTTGCTCTAAATATTAGTACTTATATTGGCTTGTTGAGCCATAGTGGCTTAAGACCTAATATCCTTGCCCCTCTAGGTTGACGACGGACAGTTACAGCTAAATAGTCGGAAGTGCTAGTTAACTAGTTAACTAGTTAAGTACGACCCGCGCACCTGGCTTAAAGCAGCTTAGCTGTAATCTATCGTTGCTGACGCTAGGACCGTGGCTGTGTGGCTGTGCGGCGCTTTGCCAAGCGCTCTAGGATAGGAGCTAAGTTAGTTAAAGGCCCTGGAGCTCCAGGACAAAGGCCTAATTGTCTGATAGTTAGATACCGGCCCACGTAGGCACCCCCGGAAATGAGGCCACCGACCAGGCTGCCAAGGAGGCAACTGGATGGAGAGAGGACCGCCGTAGCCAGCTACCAGCAAACCCGCCCTCGCAGCTGTACCCGCTCAGAACGCTCAGAACAACGCTCAGAAGGTGGTGCAAGACACAAGCAGAAAGGGCGTGGATCAGCGCATGGAAGACAAGACAGGCCGCGGGACATACAGACACATACTGACGCTCACCAAGAAAGTGCTGCAGCTCCACGAAAGGCATAGCAAAAGGAAAAGCGCGCTGCTGGTGTAGCTGCGAACCAAGAAGGTAGGTCTGAATGACTTCTTCTTCAGCCGACACGTCCCGACCGTTACCAGTCTCCGCTGCAGTTATAGAGAGAGACAGCAAACCGTCGCCCACTTCCTCCTGCACTGTAGCAGGCATAAGGACCTCTGGAACCGCATCTTCGCCAACCTATCCGGACGAAACAGCCTTAGAACGATTCTGAGCACGCCGCAGCCAGTCATCAAAGCTATTGGGTACTTATATGGAACAGACGCAAATCCTTCGGCAAGTGGGGGTCAGAGATGAGTAGACGACGCCGAGCGCTGGGGCGAGTTTGTAGGTATAGCGGACACGACAAACGAGGCAGCGGGGCTCTACGAGCCTAGAAACACAGCATGCAATTAGTAGAACCCCTGTTTCGATAGCCTGGCAAAGGACGTGTAAATAGTGGTTGAGGAAAAACGGCAAGCCTCTGGGGACAGATGGTCCTTTTGGGATGAAGTGGGGTGGTGTGGATGTTGATCCGCACCGCGTCCGCCGTTTGCCACGCCTGTCACTCCGGGCACAGCAGCGCCGCACACAGCTGAAACCGAGTAGGAGTCAATGAATACATAAATAAATTTGTTGAAGAGATGAACTATTCCGAATTAACTACAACGAGTATAATAATGAAACCCATCCATCCTTTATACGCATTGCAATCTGTGCTGTCCTCTCTGGGATCCAATCATATACTCACTTCCCGGATGCTATGATTTGGCGGGATGTCAAGTCACTTGATCTGCGCCCTGTGGAGATCACTCACGTCTAATGTGAACGCCCCATGTCCTCTTCCAATGCAGCCTGCATCAAGGAGAGATCATTGTTACTTGTAACATAGAACTCCTATTCGTATCAAATAGATTATTAAGCTTAAAGGCAGCAAGAAGTATAAAGAAGGTAGGCGGCTTAAGAAGCCAGAGCTAGAGCTCTCAGAGATTAACCTAAGTTAGGAATAACCCATGAATGCTTGCTCGCCAAGTCAGGCAGGGACTTTTGAAGGGCACCTTTGTACCGGTGGGTAAATTGGATGGTGGGATGCGCATTACGTGTCCCACGCATTGCTTGTCCGTGCACTGTACCTGTAGAAAAAGCCCCCACAGCGTGCGCAATTGCCTCCACCTGCCGAGGGCGCCATGTTAATGCCCCAAAGAAATTTGTGTATTGAAAGTTGATCGCAAGGTTATAAACGCTTGTTTCATGCCCCGCACTCGCGTTACCTTGGCATTACACTGCTAACGGGCTCGACTCCTTCCACCTCGACAATCTTGGAGATGACGGCTTCAGCCGCTTGTGACAACATGGCGCTCTCTAGATCACAGTGAGTTCTACCAATGTGAGCGACCGTGTTTGGCCGGGGACGTGTTCGTCTCTAACATTTACATAAGAACAGCGAAGCCGTTACCCGAGGGCAATGTATCCTCTACGGTTTTTTCGCCAATCCGGGCTTGCATTTTCGACATGGACGGACTCCTCATCAACTCCGAAGATATTATTACTCTTTGCACGAACCGACTTCTCGAAAAGTACGGCAGGCCTGCCTTTACTCGGTCGATTCGAGTCCAGCTCATGGGCATCCCGGACTCAACAAATGGCGACATATTCCACAATTGGGCCAAGCTGCCTATTCCGCGCGAGCAGTTTGCTCAAGAGTTGAGGGAGCAAATGCAAGCTCAGTTCCAGAGCTGCGAACCATTGCCTGGTGCGAACAAGCTTCTTTCCGATCTTAGTCATGCGCGAAATTCCTCAGGAGACAAAATCAAATTAGCGCTGGCATCTAGCAGTAAGAGCCATAGCTTTAGATTGAAAACTTCAAAACCGGAGACGAAGCAGTTGTTGGATTTCTTCGGGCCAAAGCAGCGGATTCTGGGCGACGATGCACGACTGCGAAAGGGTCGAGGGAAACCGGCCCCTGACATATACCTAATTGCGTTGCAATCATTGAACTCGGCGAATAACGCGGAAGATACCATTAAGCCTAACGAGTGTTTGGTATTTGAAGACAGTGTAACGGGAGTAGAGGCCGGAAGACGCGCGGGGATGAGAGTCATTTGGGTCCCGCATCAAGACGTGGCGGCTGAGTATGGAAGCAAGCAAGAACAAGTGTTGGCTGGGAGAATGGGGATGAATGCGCTTGGAGATGATTGGCAATTAGGGGAAATTGATGACGGCTGGGCTGAGTGTATATCTAGTCTGGAAGAATTTAACCCTCGAAAATATGGTCTCGAGATTGTATAATCTATATAGACAAATGAGACATATCATCGAGCCCAAAAAGCAACGATCTCGTCGAAATCTTCCGTGGTCAAGCTATTCATATTTCGATCCTCTTGAGTTATTTCCTTTCTCAAGCGGCATGCAACTCTAAAGGCAATGGACGCCTTTTGACTTCTACCTGTTGCTTCAAACAAACGGCCCTTGAGGAAGGTTGTTCGAGCAATCTCGTTCTTGTGTGCACTTGGGTCAACAGACCAGATATCCAGCGCCATATTAGCCATGGTACTAAGAAATAGTTAGATTAAATCTCACATATGCTTTTGAAATAGTAACACTTACATCGACTCTTCACTTCGACCCAAGCGGAGCAGGTGCTCAGCAATTTTATGAGCGACATTCGCAGTGTAGAAATCCTTCTCACCCACCGTCGCGCGCATGTGTCGCATTGCTCGCTGATGAAACTCAAAACTCTCATCCAATCGATTCTGAGCAGCACGAAGGTTACCAAGTGCATACAGAACCAGTCCTGTTCTGACAGACTCCCTATCGTCTTTGCCTAACGCCCTTTCTCTACCCGCAAGAGTTTCCGAAAGAAGCTCGTCACATTCTTCCAGCTTTCCTTGTGCAAGAAGGGACCAGCTCAGGTTAACCTCGCCAGACCGGGGGACGTAGTTACCAAGAGCTATACGAATCCGTAGTGCTTCCCTGAGATCAGCCTCACCTTCTTCGTACCTTTTATCCTGAATGCGTGAGATGCCTTGCTCTGCGTATGCAAGATACAATCTCTCATCAGCAGTTCCCAGTTCTTTGCAAATGTTGGAAACCAGAGCGAAAGACAATTCTTTATAAACGCGACTTTTATCGAAGTCGCTTGCGTCCATGGAGATAGCTCCTAGGCAGAAATATATGTCTGCAAGCAGGGAATCCCGATCAGGGTGTACAGAGGATTCGCAGATGCTGCGAGCAGTCTCAAAGAAGCCATCAAAATCCTTTGTTCTACCGCGTTCTTTCTGATACCTGGCCAGGTTAGATCAAGCAGCAAAGAGCTTGCATATCCTCTACGTACCATGCAGCCTCGTTCAACAACTTTGCAAAATGTAATTTGGTGGCGTCTGAGAGATCTGATATTGTTGACCAGAGCTGATGTATCCTTAGTACGTGAGGATATATCGCCGCACAAACAGGCCACCTCCCAACATGCAGTCTGCCACCACTTGATTTGGGCTGAGGCAATTCTGGCTCTTTTGATGGCTTGGGCATAGCCGATGGCCAGTCCGCCCAAAGAGTTCGTACGATCAGATCGAACATAGATCGCTTCTTGACCTCGTCCATCGTTGTCATGATCACTTCCTGTACGATGCGATGGACTGATAACTGCTGTCTTTGCTTGTCTCTTTGAACAAGCGATGACTGTAAGAGATCAGTCCGAGCCTCAATATAAGCACTCTTCCTGAACTGGGCGCCATCCGAAAGTAACATGACTGATGCTTCAATCAACAGATCCTCTCCAATAAAATCCGGGTCGAGAAACGAAATCAGTTCCAACAGCTGCCGCGCATGAGGCTTTAGTTTCTCAAACGCCCAAACAGTGGACAGAGAGTGAGGATATGTGATCAAGTTAGCATCGAACTTTGTCTCATAAAGATTGGCATGTTCTTCATGATCTGTATACAGCTCAAGAAATTCAGGCAAGGTCAAGTCCTGTCGGAAAATGACTCCTGCCATCTGTGAGATGGCCAAAGGCACACCACCTAGTGCTTCGCAGATTTTGTTCGCAGTGTTGGCCTCGGATTCGTTGGAAATGGGTGTAAGATGGTTGAATAGCGACAAACTATCCTGTTGTGTCAATGGTCCAAGATCCAATCCTGATGTCCTTCCTGTAAATATGCGTTTAGCCAATGGATCACGGCTGGTGATGAGAATTGATCCACTGCCCTGAGGCCAGTAGTCCGCCAGGATCATTGGGTCGTCTGCGTTATCAAACACAAGCAACCAAGTCGCTTCTGACCTCGCTTGATCGGGCTGACCAAGCTCATCGTACCCAGATAGCTGCTTTTGAGGATTAGAGAGCCACCCTTTTACGATCTCTCTACTGACAACCTGGCTCTTGCACTCCGATAAGTCCTCGAGTCCCAATGCCAACGATATTTGCTGGTAGTGATGGTCGAGTTTTGCAATCTCGTCTGCTGTCACCCAAAACACCGCATCAAAGGCAGCTCTATGTTGGCGGCAGAATTCACGAGCTATTTCAGTCTTCCCAATTCCTCCAAATCCACAAATTGCAAACTGCTGTAGAGCTGTGCCTGACGCTGTCACTATACTCTTCGAAGGCAAGAGCTCAGCCGCAAGACGTGCCAAGACGTCTTCACGGCCGCAGAAGTTCTCATTTTTCGGATTTGTGTTGAGTAATACGCAAGGTAGATGGACATATTTTTTCGGTTCGGTGTTCGGGGCTGCGGAATGAACCAACTCAAACCCCAAAGGTGTAGTCCCTTCTGTTGCTCCATTCGAAGGCCATTCCGTGGCTGTATTGGAAGGGTTTTCGGAGAGATCCAGGTGCTCGACTAATTAACGTTAACGTTGAGTGGTGAGTAAGCTTAGTTATCAACCTCACTTTGAAGTGGTGTTTCGCTGATCGTAGGCGAGTAAGCGCTCATTGTTGCGTACTGGTAATCCTCTTGAACCATTAGCGTCGTACTAGAGCTCGCCGAGATCTTCTTAACCTACGTTCTCTTAGCCGAAGTGCAACAAGCTGCACAGCATCTACCGAGACTTTGTCCACAAACTCATTCAACTCCCGTAAGCCTTCACCGCCGACGCTTTCAGTGAAGACACATGTATTGTGATGGTCGAGGTTTAAGCCAACGACGGTTTCCATGGGAGAATGAGTCAAACAGGCTTCACGGTTGACCAACTAGAAGCCTAGGTTAGTATCAGAACGTAATCAAGGACTCGGGACACTGACCTGTTGGTACTTTGAACGCAGGGGCGTTGAACTGATTCTAGACTCTCTCAACTCATAGGCAGATAGCATAGGTGTGCGAAGTGAGATTCCTTCGAATCTATCTGCAAGGTCGAGCAGAATGGCACCTTCTCGCTCGATAATGGCGTTTGTGACCTTTGATCCTCTGCCTGTTGTTGATTCCAAGATTTCGCGGAAATGTACCGCGCACGCAGTTTTGTCAGCATAGCGGTGTGGAGTACTTAGAAAGATGATACCGGCTAAAGCATTGACGATTGACCCATAACGATGGAACTGTTTGTTGGCGACGCATAAAGCTTGTTTGACTATGATTCCTCCCAGGCTATGGCAGACTACCACCATTGGCTTGCTGTCAGTCTGGAAGAGGAATGTTAGTAAACGTGCTAGTATTTTTTAAAAAAAAGAACCGTCCTGTGCTCAGCTACTTACAAGATGTGTATTTAACTTCGATCTTGCATCGCTCAAACATTGGAGAAAATCGTAACCTAGCATTAGAATTGACTCCAAAGAGAATCTGGTGTCTGGAAATGGCGAATTGTATTCATATGCAAGGATACGCGCCCTAGAACCAGGCTCAGGGAGAGTGGCGAGCCAATTCTGGTTAGCAAATGACCAGTTCTCTGGTGGGATGGTTCCAATGCCAGGAACAAGAACGACGCTGAGCTTGGGTGTAAGTGGTAGAACTGAGCTGATGCCTCTGCAGGGATCTATCTCACTCAATGCACTCCTGAGAGGCGTTGGCCGGATCCCGCAGGACCTGGAGGCGGCCAGTGGCCATAGAATTCGCTGCCGTCGCCATCAAATTAGGTGGGTGAAGAGTGGAATATCCCGAGGTACCAAAGGAACAATATCAGCTTGGTGAGCTGTTGGTGGTGGATGGTTGGTGGCGTGTCATTTCAAGATTAGCAGTGCGAGACACAGCGCTTAAGTAGATGAGGGGCATGCTGCATGGATGCCTGCACCTTGCATTAGCCTTCTGTGACAGCTATGTGCGGGACCAGTGAGCTGCTCCTCCCCCTCTCTAAGCTTGACACGACAAAATTCTTGTGAACGTAAAATAAGTCTTGCTAGTTATAGCATCCTATCGAAGTAATCCAAATAGTGCGCACACTTACAGCAGTATATGATGTCCCAGAACCAACACTACGAACGCGCCTCCACGGTACACAGCTACGATCAGAGCTACGATCTGTCAACCGTACACTATCCCTTATCAAAGCACAGTCTCTTATGCAGTGGATCCTAGACCTTACCGACGTGCGACCGATGGCAGACATTCTGCCCACTGCGCGTAGCCAAGATCCACCTCCACAACCTGTTGATAGGAAATGGGTGTCGCGCTTCGTTAATAGCCAGTCTGAGCTTCAGAAAAAGAAGAGCAGAAACTTTTATAGCCATCACGCTTGCTGTGAGGATCTAGCTATAATAGCAGCGTGGTTCAAGCTTGTAGAGGAGACGTGCTAGACGTACGGCGTGCTAGAGCAAAACGTCTATAACTTTGATGAGACTGGCTTTATGATGGGTGTAGCTGGCACGTCAAAAGTAGTCATTAGCGCACACAAAGTTAGTCGAGCAGTCGCCGTATAACCAGGTAACTGCGAATAAGTAACGACGATTGAGTATATTAACGCGTCTGGCTGGTCGCTGCCACCGTTCGTGATTCTGTCTGGTAAGCAGCACCAGGCTAGCTGTTGCAGTGACCACCCTACAGACTGGACTTTCGCAGTATCAGACAACAGCTAGACAACAGATACGCTTAGCGTAGAGTGATTAAAGCATTTCAACCAGCGTACAGTGTCTCGTATAGCTGGGGCGTATCGTCTCCTTATCCTAGACAGCCACAGCGGCCACGCTACGCCAGCGTTTGACACGTACTGCAAGGAGAACAAGATCATCACTTTCTGTTTGCCACCTCACATCTTCTCCGGCCAATTGATGTGAGTTGCTTCTCACCACTCAATCGTGTGTACGGACGTGAGATTAAGGAGCTTGTGCACCAGGGCGTCTTCCACGTTGAGAGCTGACTCCCTCACAATCTATAAACGGATCCAGCTAGTTGTATTTACGCAGCAGAACATCCAGTCAAGCTTCCGGATGGCTAGGCCTTTTCCTCCATATTCAGATTTCGTCCTATCGTCGCTCACAGTCGTCCGGATGCCGTCTCCGCTACAGACAACTACAGACAATAACATCGCAACGCAGACAGGAACACCACATACAGTATCGCAGCTTCAGCATCAAGTACACTATCTCCAATAGCGGCCATGCCGATACTCAAAGAGCCCAACAAGCGCTGCTATACGCCAGCTTACCAAAAGCGTTCAGCTTGCAATGAACTCAGCGACTATACTTGCAGAAAAGAATAGAAAGCTATCTACATTTAATCAGCGCCAGGAACGTAATAGAGACCAGCGACGTCACTATATAGCATGTGGAGGTGCTCTACAAGTCCAGCAGGGCCAGGAGCTGGCCGTAGACGCAGAAAGGGTAGTAACTAGTAGGGCCGGAGCAGAGCCAGGCTATGTGAGAGATGTCAGTGCGCACCGCCAACGTGTACGAAGCGTCACATTCAAAGACGTACGTGGACCTCATGTAACTAGAGCTAGAGGAATAATTCTGCTTTTAAATTCTATCAAATTTCATTACATAGTAGTAGAGCTATTTTGCAGAGCATTGGGTCGAGTTTGGTGGGGTGCGCAGCTTACTAGTGGAATGCGTTAGAGGCGGTGCCACCTATGTTTGCATCTTTCTTTTACAGGTGTACTGTCACTACATAGCCTGACTATTAAGAATGGGCTTAACTATGGGCTCACGGAAAAATGTGTTCAAACAATGTGACTCGGATCCTTGTTGCTTTTCTCCGCCGTCTTATTCCGTCTCACACAGCAACGATCTTTCCAGAGTCTCACCCAACACCGCTTCAGGAACTGAAAGTCCCACAAATAAAGCATGTAGGCAGACAAAGTAATTGGGACACATAGGACAAAGAACCACCAAAATCGCACGCCGTTCTGTCCGAGGAGATCAATGTTCATACCAAACAAGCTGGTGCTAAAGGTGAGAGGAATGAAGAACGTTGCCAACAAAGTTAGCTTTTTGAGTCGTTCAGATTGCTCAATTGCCTTTCGAGACTCCTCAATCGCAGCTTTGTTCATCGCTAGATTTATACCCTGAGTGCACATTCTCGACAGGTCGATACAACGAATATGGAGCTGCTCGTAGTCTTCCCAAAGGTTATTCGCTGCAAAAGCATTTTCGAAATTACTTAATCCAATATTTCTGGCTGTCTCGGTTTCAGACATCTCCCGGTGCATACCGATGCTTGGGGGCACAGCGATTTTGGACATTGGGCTTGCTGCTCTGACACCATTTGACCTTTGATTACTTTGATTGATCAATTTGCAGAACGCGCGAGTGCTTTCTGCCAGTTGCCGAGCATGCCTGTCCAGAATATTGGAAAAATACTGAAAAGTTCCCAATGCGTCGGCTGAGACTCCTTCGGCTACCGCATCAATCTGCATTCGGATCCTGGACTCCATAAGGTTCAAAAACTGAATTTCAGAGAAAGCAGCATGCGCAAACAATGGGATGCACATCGATAGCGGATCTTGAGCTGCGCGACGGGACAGATCGACGAGCCCGACCAGTGAATCGTACTGCAAGGGGAGAACAGCCGTACTCTGCTGGAATTCCACCGAAGAATTAGTATTTGGATCTAGATAGTTGGTGGTGGTTCGAAATGCCATCTTGTGATGGTGCTGGATTATGGGTAACGCTGTGGCCTTGGATTCGATATGACTTGTCCATGGTCCGGGAGGTGACTTCTCCAAGGGTCTACCGTGGTCCATCCAAACGACAACTAGATCCTGTATCAGCAAACTTTCTTCGTGCCATGTTGTGAGGTCTTTTACCGGCCCAACCGTGGTCTGTCTTTGTGACACAAAGCGATATCCATTGCTCAATTACGGAGAAGCACGAGCACAAGGTAGAGTACTCGCGCACCACTGAGTCTCCACAACGGACTTTAGATCTGAGCTGTTGTGTCTTGTATACCCCAAGTTCATCTGATTGATCAGATCGCTGTGACTGAAGATCCTGTCTACCAAACCCATCACGGTGGAGAATTGTGCTCACACAAAGCCGGAATATATTATTGGACGAACTGGCGAGTGATGGAAGGCTGTATGCATGCCGGTCAACGCTCGCCGAAAGGTATTCCATGTGTCGTCTAAAGAATTCCGGGTCGATGTTGTATTTGCTCCCAATGGTGGATACCCATGATGGCGATATGAAACCTCGAATGAAAATCAATTGCCCGAGGCCTGCCTCAGGAGCAGAAGTAGCAGCATAGAAGTCTCTGTGTTCCTCTTGACTATATCCTTGCACATCCCACTTCCCTTCGCTACTGTTGTACACAACAACAAGGTCGTGAGTTTGTCCAGCATCAGAAACGAACGGAATAGCCTGTTCTTCTCTTTTTGGAAGGTTAAGAAGATTTCGGTCTAGTAGCATCCAATCTCCCATATCAATATAATTGTTTCCCGGGAAGATAGATGTGCTCGAGCATCTTCTTGAGAGCGAAATTATGGCTCGAGTGTAGTTTTCGGGAGTAACTGTGAACCCATGATTTAATCAGACCGCGCATTATGAATGATCGGCATTATAGAACCATACCTCTAGATCGTTTACGCTCCATTTTTGTCGTGCAACACAATTGTATCAATAGTGTTGAATAGTGCTAATGACAACGCGCTAACAGCTCGCGCAACAGACTTGAGGATAAAGAGGCCCGCCAAAAAAAAGAATGAAAAAAGGCGGCCAGAAAAGAGGGTGACGAATCATTCATTGAGATTGTAAGGCGGCCTGGCTGCAAGGGACACTGCATATACTGGATTTGAAGCGTTCTTAGGCGCCCGTGGCAAGCGCTACTGCCTCCAATAAGAAGCCGTACAGTAAATCGATCGTCTGCCTTTCACCCAGCCTCAAAACAGGCGAACCCGAAAATTCCGTTTCAATCTCATAATACATAAACCAGTATAGCATGTCTGAAAGAAGCAAAAAAAACTTGCTGTAAAAAAGGTGGGCTATATTGTCATCACGATTGAAGCGTGATACAGTTGACTAGCATTCCGCTGTGTGCATTCAAACGCGCCAAGGATCTGACAGCGCTGCACAGCAACCATGATAAGGACCCGCTTATTAGCGTAGCCCCTCCGCGGCGGCTAAACACATGCAACAGCTTCCACTTTACCGGCTGGCTAGGCTACAGAGTTCACAATCAAGGGTTGTGAGCAATCCCCATAGGAATCAGGCAGTCCTGAAGCATGCAGATCTGCAGTCACGGGCTTGCCGTTCCATTTTCGCAGCCAAAATCCGACGTAAGCTAATCAGAACCACAGATGCGCGGCCTCTTTGTCACCAACATTGTTCCATTACCGTCCAGTATGCCGTACTGCGGATCCTTATTCAAGCTTAAGATGTGTACCACCCCCACGCACAGCCTTCAATCACTGGACATCTATTGTCTCAGTGAACTAATGTGTTTCACGGGCGAGCGCCACACCCCACCAAACTTGGTTAGTGCTAAAATATGTGTAGCTAAGAGCGTGCACTGGATGGTACCACGTCCAGCTAATAGTCTGTTCACTGGTCGCTCAGAACTTATAGGCCGAATCGCGAGCGCCTTGCGTAACAACGGCATTAACGTCCATCCCTGCGTAGCGGGACACCCTGCGTGACGGGACGCTACAGACACTCCTCAACACAGCATACCCAACA